TGACCAGGACATCGACGACGACGACGACGACGACGACGACGACGACGATGGCGACGACGACGACGACGGCGGCGGCGGAGACGACGACGAATGCGAGGACGACGAAGACGATGGCGACGACAACGACGACGACGTCGATAACGACGACGGGCGGACTGACGTGCGGGTCGGCCGGGCGGACTCTGACGGCAGGTCGGGCTGGCGGACCCTGACGGGCGGGTCGGGCGGGCGGACCTTGACGGCCAGGTCGGGCGAACGGACCTGACGGGCGGTTCGGGCCGGCGGGCCCTAGCGGGCGGGCGGGTCGGGTCGGGCGAAACATTGAAGTTGCGCGAGCCACCCGCCAGGACATCCACGGAGGCGACGACGAGGGCGGCGAGGCCGACGACGACGAGAGGGACAGGCCAGCTGCTTCCTCACTTTGTCGCCTGCTCGCTGGCTCCGAGGGAGAGTGGGGTGGAGCCCGCTGCTCGCGGCCCGAGGCTGCCCAGAGTTCATGCGCGGCCGCCGGTTCATGCCCAAGCAGTGCCCGCAGGACCATGCCCGGGGGGCCAGGATGGGGAAAGAGAGGAACGCGTGGGGGCTGGGATGGGGAGGGGAACGCGTCAATTTCGTGCGACGAGCTCTGTACGGGTCCGTCGCCCCTAGCCATGCCCATCCCAGGTCAGGATCGGAATCTATGCCTCTCCGGGAGAGCCACTGAGGGTCTACACACCGCTGCTGGGCTCAGTGTGGGCCGCCTGGCACAGGGGCGATGGATCTGTATACAGATCTCGCCGCCCTGAAACGGCTGGGGCGAGGACAAGGGCGAGGACGAGGGCGGGGACAAGGAAGGAAGAGGAGGGGGAGGAGGAGGGGGACCAGGAGGAGGAGAGGAGGAGGAGGAGGAGGAGGAGGAGGAGGAGGAGGAGGAGGAGGAGGTCCGTATCAATTCTGGCTCAAGGCTAAAAGTTGCGCAGGGCTACAGGCGTCCGAGAATCATCGATTCACTTTGGCAGTCTCCGCAGCTGGCCCAAGCTGCTCGGGCGTAGCGCCCAGCCTTCTCTCACCAACTCCACCTTCCGATCTCTGCTCGCTGCCCTTCTGTGCCTGTGTGTGTGTGCTCTCTCTGGGCGAAGCACGCCGGGAGCCTCCTGGCCTCGGCGGACCCCCCCCCCGCCCCGGACCCCCCCCCCCGGGTCCCGGCGGAACCGGGTCCCGGCGGCGGGCGCAGGCGTTGGGGGCACACAGTCATTCAGGGAAGCGCCCAGCTGAAGATGCCCTGGACGTTCAGGGGAGCGCCCAGCGTTCGCTCTCGGGCGGCGCCAGGTGCCCCTGGGTCAGATGCAATGCTTCGCGAGGACAGCGGCGCCAGTACCTGCATGCACAATGTGCCTGCGGCACATGCTCAAGATATCCAAGCCGTGCAATCGTCC